AATATAAGCAAGTTAATTCTCGATTGTTAAACTTAGTCCAAGAATACCCTTTCTCCAACGTCCAAAATCACCTTAAAGCAGTAGCTTTAAACTTAACCATTTAAACTTAGCATTGCATAATTTGTATTTTTAACTAATTTATTTTGTTTCTTTTTTTAATAAAGTTTATCATGCTGTCCTAATTAGAACTATAGAATAAGTGATGAACGAATTGAATCAATTATAATCAAGAAAACGCAGACTTACTCAATCTAACCCAAACTAACCCGTCCGCCTAGTGCGATCTAGTCCTCGTAAGTTAGCATTTTATTGCAGACTTACTCAATCTTACCCAAACTAACCCGTCCGTCTAGTGCGATCTTGTCCTCGTAAGTTAGCATTTTATTCCAAACTTACTCAAACTAACCCAAACTAACCCGTCCGCCTAGTACGATCTAGTCCTCCAAAGTAAGCATTTTATTGCAGACTTACTTAATCTAACCCAAACTAACCCGTCCGCCTAGTGCGATCTAGTCCTCGTAAGTTAGCATTTTATTGCAAACTTACTCAAACTAACCCAAACTAACCTGTACGCCTAGTGCGATCTATTCCTCGTAAGTTAGCATTTTATTGCAGACTTACTCAAACTAACCCGTCCGCCTAGTGCGATCTAGTCCTCGTAAGTTAGCATTTTATTTAAAAAAACTGTCAATCTTGTTTTTCAAATAAAATGTTAACTTACGAGGACAAGATCGCACTAGGGGAACGGGTTAGTTTGGGTTAGTTTGAGTAGTCTGCATTTTTTTGATGTCGCTGTTTTAAATCTCATTCTTTACATATGTCGCTCTTCTGCAATGTCGCTGTTTCAAGTAGGTATCGCGCTTTCGAGTGTCGCTTTTTTGATATGTCGCTACTTTTTTCACATGTCGCTGTTTTGAATGTCGCTATTTTAATAAAGTCGCTGTTTTGAATATCGCTATTTTGATGTATCGCTTTAAAAATATGTCGCCTTTTTAATGTCACTATTTCAAATATCGCTCTTTTGAACCGGAGCCACTGAGAATGTCTTAATGTCTTGTATTTTGGAAAGCGTTCTATATTCCTCGTAGATAGTTGAGCGTTCTCATCCAATCGCGCTATATTCCAGTCGCGTTTTTGTTCCTCGCGCTTTTGTCCCACGCGCTTTTATCCAGTCGCGTTTTTGTCCATCGCTCTTCATTCTAGTCGCGTTTTTGTTCTGTCGCGCTTTTGTCCCTCGCGTTTTTGTTCCGTCGCGCTTTTGTCTCTCGAGTTTTTGTCCCTCGCACTTTTGTTCAGTCGCGTTTTTGTTCCACGCGCTTCTGTTCAGTCGCGTTTTTGTTCCGTCGCGCTTTTGTCCCTCGAGTTTTTGTCTCTCGCTTTTCTGTTCAGTCGCGTTCTTGTTCTGTCGCGCTTTTGTACCTCGCGTTTTTGTCCCTCGCGCTTTTATCCAGTCGCGTTTTTGTTCCGTCGTGGTTTTGTCCCTCGCGCTTTTCGTATCGCGCTTTTCTCCCTCGCGCAAATGTCTGTCGCGCAAATGACACGGAGCCTATTGAAACACGTTTGCTGTAATATATGTAATTACTGGATGTTCTTAAATCATATTGGTGCATTTACTTAAAAATAATGTATTAACTTGTACAGGCAACTCCATACATATTTACGGCGAGTTTACTTATATATCAAATACATGACATAGGTATTTCAATAAAGATGGTAATACTTTAAATTAATAAAATATAGGTCAACTATTTCTTAAAATTAGTTTAAATTGACGAATTTGCTTAAATTGAATCGACTTTATTTAGGTGAATAACGTATATATTTTTTTCAATTAAATAGTTGTCAATTACACGATTTATTTGTTTCTCCCTTTCGGATTTTTTTCTGTGTATAGGTAAATTCGAGGGTAAATTCTATAAACAAATTTTTAAATATTTTTAGACAGTTTGGGTATATTTATTATTGTGATATATTGAAAATACGAATCCCGACAATACTTATTCGATAATCGGAACAAATGCGAATGGCGAATGAGTCACTTTTCTACTTTTTCGCATAGGTAGGTATCTTTCCTATCCTCTGAATACTAGAGTAACGGAAGTAACGAGTAACGAATATTTAGTAACGAATAATAATATCAAAAGTAACGAATACGTACGAGTATTAATTAAAATTTTCGTTACTTTTACAGCCCTAGTTTATTAAGAACTAAATAGCGGATCATTGTGAAAATTTGGAAACCGGGATAAACGACTATGATGGATCTACCCTTGAAAATATTTTTGACCATGTGGTGTTGCCGCTTCTACTCTAAACCAGTAGCAACATCGCTATTTTAAATGGAACACCTTGTATATTTTTAAATTTTTGAATTCGGCACATACATGGTGACACAATGAATAGGGAACAGCCTATAACTTTTTTAATATATAAATTGAAAATTTGAAATTTGGGGAGCTTAAACGAGGCAACTTTTTGGGTTTTTTAGAAGTAAATTGCGTTACCAGTCACTTCCGGTTAAACCGGAAGTAGCCATAATTTTCAATTTTCAAATGGGACACCCGGTATTTTTTGAGTTTTCTGGCATCAGCAGATCATTCTACGTATGATAGGAACATTTTTGAAAGATTTATAACAAAACCAAAAAAAAAAAATTCTTGGATTTTTCAAAAGTTGTTGAGTTTTTTTTTCAGCAGATTTTAAAAATGTTGATATCAAAAAATAGGGAAAAAAATGTCCCAGCGTGGTTACATTTGAAAAATATGGAATACCTTGAAAACACCTCTTTGTTAAATCTTGATCTGAAATTATGGCGTTCAGGTAGCAAAAAATTGAAGGTACAGACTTTCCTGATATAAAGAATATCCAACTAAATCAATCAATTTACACCAGTGGCAGCGCCGAATTTTTTTTTCTAAAAATTAATTTAATTTATTTTATTTTTTTTGTTAAAAATTTGCCAAAAATGATCCTACCATACTTAAAATGATCTGCTGATGCCAGAAAACTTAAAAAATACCGGGTGTCCTATTTGAAAATCAAAAATTATGGCCACTTCCGGTTAAACCGGAAGTGACTTGTAACGCAATTTACTTCTAAAAAACTCAAAAAGTTGCCTCGTTTAAGCTCCCCAAATTTCAAATTTTCAACTTATATATTAAAAAAGTTATAGACTGTTCCCTATTCCTTGTGTCACCCTGTATGAGCAACAGAACATTTTTTCTTAATACTTTCCTATAACTATCTGTCGCCGCTTTTCAGAAATAGGTAATTAATTTCAATTTGTTTTTTTAACGAGAACAGGACTAAATCTTAATATCTCTCTCCTATAAAAAAATTTTGGGCTGAAATTTGGATTATGCCAGAACAATGCTAATGAATAAACGCTAATAAATCCAAAAAAAATTAAGAATTAGGTATGGGCAAAGTATACATAGTCTGAAAGCTAGTTTTATCAACATTTTAAATCCGTATTATTATACAGGGTGTTCCATTTAAAAAAAAAAAACTGGCATTTTTATGAGTTACGAGTTGAAAATTGATTTTTTGCAACTTTGACAGGATGTAGAACCTGAACGGTTAATTTAAGAGGAAAACCGCTTTTACATTCCTATCTTAGATTTTTATAAACTATCATTTGACACCATCTTTGAATTAAATCCATGATTAAAAATTTCAGTTAAATTTAATCTCCGGTTAAGTTCAAAGTTGGTGTCAAATGATAGTTTATCAAAATCTAAGATAGGAATGTGAAATCGGTTTTCCTCTAAAATTAACCAATTAGGTTTTACAGCCTGTTAAAGTTGCAAAAAGTCAATTTTCAACTGTCAATATTTCCAAAACAGTTGAACGTAGGTATAGGGTATATCACATGAAATCTGCTCAGAATTTTACGTAGAATCCAAATATGCAATTTAATACGGGATGTTCCATTTAAAATAGTGATGTTGCCACTAGTTTAGAGTAGAAGCGGCAACATCGCATGGTCAAAAATATTTTTAAAGTGTAGATCATGATCGTTTATCCCGGTTGCCAAATTTTCAAAATAATCCGCTTTTTAGTTCTCCATAAACGTCTAATACGCCATCCACCGTGGGACACCCTGTATAAGAACAGATTTTCCCAAATCAACAGAAGCAAGGTGTATAGGCGAACCATTATAAATTTCATTTAATACACTACATTGATAACATCTGAAATACATCTGACGAATTCTAAAATACAATTTACAATTTCTGATCTACAAATAAATAATCTGAAGCACAAATGACGTTTTCTGGAATACAAATCACCAAACTGAAATACAAATGACTTTTTCTGAAATATAACTGATCAAACTGAAATACAAATGACGTTTTCTGAACTACAACTGACAAAGTTGAAATACAATTAACACTTTCTGAAATTAAATTTACACAACTGGAATACAATTGACGCATTCTGAACTAGAATTGATGAATCTGAAATACAAGTGATACATTCTGAAATACTTATGAAAAAGGTGTAGACATAGTTTATTATCACGGGCCCTTCTTTTGGAGGGCCTTAGGCACGTGCCTTATGTGCCTAGGAGTTAATCCGGTACTGGATAAAGCGCGTCACATTCTAGCAATTTAGCGTTCATGAAAGCGATACTACCGTCCTGTTCGCCCAATATTGATCAATGGTCAAAAGAGTGTAAAGAGTGCACAATCACGAAAGAATAACCCGTTTAATTTTTTGCCATTATAAGTGTTCTTGGTATGATTTTGCTCAAAAATCAATATTTTACTCAATATATCTAATTTGAACCAGCTCAGCCTAGGACGAAAAAGTTTTCCTAATATCCTCCATTGACTTCAGGACAAACTAGTTCATCCTTAAATCAGGTTTTGCCGGTATCATGAAAAATAAATTCTTGTTGATTACCAAATTGTAATTGATTCATTCAAATATGTGGAAATGGAAATAATTATTGTTAATTTTAAAATAAAAATACAATGATTCTCTTTATTTGTTAGATAAATTCTCATAATGATGAGTTCATCACCTACAAAGAACTATTAAAAAGAAGCATTTCCACAGCAATAGCACTTGAAAAACGTGGCATAAAACAGCATGATTTAATGGCTATATGCTCTAGAAGAGAAAACCTTGATGGTAACGTGCCCATAATTGCAGGGCAATTTTTAGGCTGTATCACCTATGCGTTAGACCCTAATGAAACCATTGAAGTGACTGCAAATTTACTTGAACAAGTCCAACCAAGGATTATTTTTGTAACAGGTTTGAATTTAGGATTAAGAACTGAGGATGTTCTCCCGCAATGACGATTGGTTGCGATCAGCCATTATATTCTGTCCACATCTCGCCTTCATGTTTGTCCTTCCTGTCCTGTGCTGTCTGAAACCTGCTACTTGTTGATATCATCAAGCCTCCTCTGTGGTCTGCCGGAGCTAAGCTTCATTTGACTCGGCTGTCAGTATATTACAAAATACGATCTATTATATTAACGACTTTAGTTTTTAGTCGCATTCCTTCTGTCCTTGAGACAGACTACAATCAAGTATCATCCGTTCCATCGCTCTTTACTGTTGCGCGATACTTTTTGTCATTGTCTTCAACAAATTACCGCGTGATTCATTTAATCGACGTCAGTCACCCTAAGTCTGTATATTTAACGTAGATTACGATCCATGTTAGAGGGGACATTGGAAATTTCAAATACTGCCCGGCAGTACTGAGGAACCTTATTTTATTCAGCGCTTTGACAAAATGTAATAGTATCATGGGAGAACATCCTGAAGTAGATTAATTGTTTAGGTAATGTGTATTTATGTTTTTTAGAAAGTTCAAAGCAACTTATATTTGAAACTCTCAAGAAAATTAACATTCAAGTTGAAATAGTGGAATTTGGTGAACAATTCAAACACGAGTTTTTAGGCTTGGAAAACAGTGACTTTAAGCCATTGTTTATTGAAAACCTAAAAACAACTTGCATGATACATTTCAGTAGTGGTTCCACTGGTACACCGAAACCCATATGCCTAAATCACTATTATTATATGGCACTAATTGGACCTATTCCACAGTAACCTCTGAAGCTGAATATTTTATTTCAAAAATAATTAATAATTTTTTCTAGTCCGAAATCGGAACCCTGCACTCGGAAGTTTGCAAACCACATGATTGGCTCGGTCAGTTTGAGGATCTCTAACTGGTACTGGATATCGACTTCTATAGAAATGGTTGACGCTATGTGGAATGGAAAATGTCGGTTATTGAAGGATATATTCGATGTTGATCAAATATGGTTTACTATTGCTAAATACAAGGTAATTATACAAAATTATTGTCTGTGACACCTCTCAGATAGTGCAGTGGTGTTGTTAAGGTTTTCCTTCTGGTCACTAATCAAGTGTCCACTTGTTAATGCTGCTCATCGAAGGCTAGAGAAAGGCAACCTTGACAACCACTTAGCTGATCCTCCTCTGGTAGCGTAAAATCCATTGTCCAGTAAGGAGAATGGCGCAAATAATTAGGCGTTGCATTGCGCCATTTATTGAGACAAATTCTGTGCCTACAACACAACGTTTGAAATGTATGCATCCCGCGATGATTCGAAGGACAATAATAATAGTTGTTGGGGTATTGAGATTGAAGTGTGCAGTTGTTTACTAGCTTTCAATGGGGTGCTTGGAAAAGTAGGTACTGATATATTTTTGTTATTGAGTCATTTCTATCGGTTTATCTACTATATTTTCGTAACTATCGTAAGTAAATAGTAGATGGCCAAATACATTTTCGCTATTTCTGTAAAGTACATACAGATAATGTAAACAAAATCATTTAAAAATTCATGACCGACATTCAAGCGAAATTATGCATAGACTTGCATATTAAAGCAATAAAAGTGGAAACTATGAACAAATAACCCTTACCGTTAAAATTCTGTGGCGTTTTCCAAATCCTACAAATTATCTCCTATATATTTCGGAAAATAACATCATGCCAGAATGAAGAGGTAAAAAAGATGGTTAACGGCGATTTGAATATCCGAGAAACAGAAATAAGAAATGTGGCGCTGTGATACAATCCGAAACAAGTATTTGTTAAAAGAAGGAAAGTTCTTTATCATAAACATGCCTAAATATTAACTTTGGTCATTCTCATAAAGTTCACGTTGCACAAGCTTTTATTCATTTATAGACCCTGAGATAGGGACTGTTTAATGGAGTCATTTTTTTTTGTCTGGCATTTTGAAGGGTGAATGTGGCTAGTTAGCTGATGAGAATATAAGTGGTTTTAATGCTGCTGTGCGTTCGAAATGTTCATGAACTTTTTGCGGATTTGCTCGCTTTCGAACTGTGATTACCGGCTGCATTTATTCATTCCGTACATGTATATGGCACCCAGCACCATCCCATTGGTCAGATTTAAAATTTAAACCAATAATTTTAACTTCGAGTGCCATACGCTTGTACTGAATGTAAATCGGTGCCATATGCACTCACGGAATGTCATACGTAGTTATGCAGCAGAAAATATTGAGCTGAAAACGAGTTAAGCGTCAATTAGGCATTTTTCAACTATATCTATTTTAAACTGCAGAGCAGTAAATACTGGTATCTCAAGTTAAGTGCTAGTATGGCGTATTGATTTTCCAATTTTTTTACGGAATTTCGAATGTAATAATTACTTATGTAGTCATTATCGACATATTACAAGCATGCGGTGTATTAATCTAAGTTTCGGTGAGCAAAGAAAATTTACATAGAGTATCAGAGAATCAGAGCGAAAGCAAAAAGCGTCAATATGTATATTGAATAATATATTCATTAATCAAAGACACAAATTCTTCCACCCATCGTCTAGCGTCATTTTCAGTCATTAGGTTTGCTCTATATTTTCTAGGACTCTGTTCAAAGTATTTATAATTCAAAGGTAGCAACGTTGTCGCATCATGCATGGCGATTTTAGACACCCAAATAAACAGAAGAGATTATCTGATTAAAATAATGTCGGCGAAGCATAAAACTGCCAATTTATTGTTCAAAATATTTCTAAGAAAATCGAAAGAGAGGAAGCAAAAGCAACGCCAAACTCCATAGAAGTACCTAATAAGTACTTTAGCCCGACAATCACAATAATCACAAAAATAAAACAGGATATTTGGCCGCTGGAGACGTGATTCTGCGTTAAAAAAAAATATGCAATAAGCGGCGTTTCCACAAGCATAGTTTATTGGTGCCAGTGCACGTGCCAGTTTGCTGGCGTAATAATAGTGACGCCAGTATCTGTTTCCACTTGATATCAAAAACTTTTAACTGGCGCAGTTGAAAAATGAAAAATGGCGTCAACTTTAATGGTTCAAGGAGATAATAATGTTGCTGTGGATATTTTGTTTCTAGAATTATTGCAGAAGACCCGAAAAAACAAGAAGAAGAGACTGAAACACAAGATCTGGGTACGAAAATGGATTTCACGCAGATAAGCTCTAGGAGCATCAAATAATTTACTGTCTGAGTTAGCGGATGACGACCATGAAGCAATTCCAAAACTTCTTATTTTGCTTTTAGCAGCAGTGATATCAAAACCGCTTAAAAACGCGGGAACTTGCACAATACGTCAACACTTATCCTTATAACATCATCCCGTTTATTCCTGTCTTTGTATCACAAAAGTTTGTGATTCCACAAACAGGGATGCTCTTCCATAAACTTTATATGTTCAATTTTTTTTTACTTGACATTTTCATTATTTTTCTGAAAACGACAAGTGAAAACGTGTGTTTGTGTGTTGACAAGCTGTCACACATGGCAAACTGGCGCCAAAAAGTAGACCTTACGCATAACTATATTACAATCTGTAAGTGCATATGGCACTGATTTACATTCTGTACGCGCGTATGGCACTCGAAATTTTAAATCTGACCAATGGGATTGTGCTAGGTGCCATATACATGTACGGAATGAATAAATGCTTACCGCGTTATTTTCACATAGGTATAATATCACAAGAGAAAAAAAATTGTCGGCAAAATTTTCGAAAGGTATGAAAGTTTGTTGCTTGGCAATTTCGCGAATGATATTTTTATCAAAAATGTCATGAGCGAAATTGCCGAAAAACAACAAACTTGAATAAAACCTTGAGAACAATTTTGCCTACACAATTTTTTCTCGAGTGGTATTCGTCATGACTATTTCACGTAAGATTTTGAAAATAGATAGAATGCAAAAATATGAATAAAAACTTCAAATTAAAAATATCAGTTTGACAATGTCAAAAAATGGTCGCTGAAATACCATGTTGTTGGTATTGTCCAGGTAGCAATATTGTCAGCTGTATACCGAATTTATTGTCGAATGTAATACCACAAGAGGTTTCAGGATTACCGGATAATACTTTTACCTGTCACGAAACGCGTTACGCAGCAACACCACGACTCCGAAGGAGGAGTGGTGTTGCTGGTAACGCGTTGAGTGTCAGGTAAAAGTATTAGGTAATCCTGAAACATCGAGTGGTATTCAAAAGGTTATACAACGAACTAAACTTCAATACTTTATCAATCTTTATAATCATTAATGACAAATTGACAATATTGCCACCAAGCGCGATAATCCCAAAAGGCTTATCACTTATTAAGCCTCTCGTGTCATATGGGAATAATGTACAGTGAGTTGTATAACCGGTGTAATACACTCTAGTGAAATAGTCACAACAAAACCTTCCATTCTCTCAATTTCCAGGCAGAAAGAAAATGCGGAAATTCGTATACTTTTCTCATGCAAGTTGACACCCATCCCCAGTTTTTCAGCCATCGAAAAGCATCTGGCATTTTTTATAAATGAATTATTTATCGATGCAATGTCAATCTTTTATTCAAAAGGCAGACAATAGGGAACTTGCACATCAAATTAAATATGGAATAAATAACAAAACACAATAACAATCATCCTAATAAATGATGCAATTAGGAAAAAAAATTAATATCTTATCTCTGGTGTCCAAAATCTTCAATTGAAAATACCAAATAATTCGAAATTCAAGACGCGATCAAAAACGTATTTCTATGGGTCGTGACGTCACAAGGGAGTAATAATCGGGTCGCGCCGCTGCCACGCCATGTGCTGCTGGTGTTGCCAATGTCAAATCTATCAGAAACTGCATACATAACAACATAACCATAATCTTAATCTACCTGCTTGAAGTTCGAAGTGCTCGACACTATGATCGGAATTTTGTTGCCGAGTGACGTCACACTGATCGGTCGTTTAAAATAGCGATGTTTCGAACGTAACTTCAAATATTTATAAAAAAATTAACGGCTGATTTTTAATGCCTGATATTTGGCATGACTATGTCTTTAGTGAAGTAGAACACATTTTTGAATTAAAAAAAAAATGTGCAAGTTCCCTATTCAAGATCATTAAAGAAAAATGTTTCATGTGAATGCACTTTTTTCTCCTCCAAATCACCCATATTCTCATCAGCTAACTAGCCACATTCAGCCCTTAAAATGCCAAACAAAAAAAATGACTCCACTAAACAGTCCCTATCTCAGGGTCTTTTACGAATGAACAATGATACGATAGAGACATTTGTATCAAATTTACATTTGTATCAAATTTTAAATCAAGAATGACACAGTCCGACACAAAGACAAAAGTGAGACTTCCAATGACATTGGAGACATGTCTATGATAAATGGGCTAAATGGCGGACATCTATGATCGTGAAGAAACGGCGTTCTACTGATACTGCCATCAAAAATTGGAGGATTCGAGAATGCTGGCGTCAAACTAGGTTTACGAGAAAATTCTCTTTCAATAGTTGTTATGGAACATATTCTAGGCAATAGAAACTAAATAATGGACTGGACTTTAAAAAAATAGTAGGATTGAGTTTTATGGGCTAACTCTATGTATTTTGTATCGGTGACTGGTGGTTATTTGTAAATCACCAGTAGAAACTACAGTTACCAAACAAACAAACTATTTGATCATATTGGTTATTGGTTCGTTTTGGCGAGTAAATAACCAATTTGTGCCAGTATTGGTTCAATTTGTGACACCTACGTCATCTACATCATGGTGACACATTGCGGCACAGCGGACCGAAAAGTATCAAATTGCGCCCGCAAATTAGGGCGCAAACTGGTGCTTTGCGGTCCGGTCGTACATAATAGTTATTTATGTATCAAGGGTACTAAGTAGATGATTATGCCCTGAGGGCGACAGTCTTACAAAGCCGAGGGCCTCTGGCCCGAGGGTTCGTAAGTCGCCCGAGGGTATATAAATCTATTAGTACCCGTGGTGCATACAAACTTTTATGT